TATTAAATAAAATAAATTAATAATCACTAATGAAGATTAGGTATATAACTTCCATTTAGTGAGCTGTCTGTTTCACAGAATTAAAACAACACTATGTGGGTTGTTAAAAATTAAATGAAATTTTAATGTTGCTGGAAAAACACACTCACACTTCCTGGTGTCCTGTACTTCAATATTCTTATGCAATATTCAAATGATTCTAACTATAATATCAATTATTTAATTTACCTTGAAACTTTTCAGATTAAAAATTTAAAATTAATATTGAAATTAACATAAAATATTAACAGTTTACTAATGCTAATAAATAAATTGCTTCCAAGCACTTTGTAGATATAAAAGTGTAGACGGTAAGCAAGGTAAGGCAAACAGATCTGTCATGATTAAAGTAATAATGCAGATTCCTATTTCAGAAGTTTCGATTTCATTCATTTGTCCTTTATAAGAACAACATTCCTTCTCCATCATTCAGTTCTGGGTTTCATTTTCAGATGGTGCAAGTCAAAATTTTAAAATATTAATTTCACAGCTATATCTGAAAGTTAATCAATTAACTAACCAACTCATTACTCAAAGATAAATTAAGTAGATATAACTTTCATGTTTGGACTATCTGTAATTCAATAAAGGTTTTTTATAAGATCTAATTTTATTTTAAAATAGAACAGCTCTCAATTTGAATTATTTCATTTAACTAAAATAAGTGATATTTATATAGTACCTTAAAATACATGGTGGTATAAACTATACAATTCATTCCCTGGTCTTTTTTTTCCCCCAAGTTGACCATATTATTCATGGAACATGTCAGAGTTGCAGTATTAACCCATTTGCTCTGATACTTCAAAGACAGCCATCTCAGATAAATTATATAATCAATCTTGCTCAACATGGAATGATCCATTATTTTATATTCTTTTGTTAAGACTCAATTTTACAAAATGTATAGAACGACTTTTTTCTAGCTGCTAATCTATTAGTTCCTAGTGAACTTGGAAATACTTATTTGATTCATGCACAAATTGTTGATAAAAAGTCAGTTTTGTAGATAGCTCTTTCTGTAGCCAAATATTAATTTATGGAGAATGAATTGAAAAGAATGTGGGTCCTGTGTATTTCATTATATAGCTACATTGGCAGTGGAAATGTAGGATTGTAAAATGTCATGTATGTGCTCTTATTAACTGCAAAAAATGCTACTTTTTAGTATTAATATAACAATTCCCATATTTGCATGCAAGTTGTTTGTATTTACCAATAAAAATAAAATTTAAAAATCACCTAATGAAATTTATTTCAAAGGTATTGTACTATTTTATTATCAAGCAGGCCCTAGTTGATCTAGCATTGTCAGGAAACAATGTATTTCTCATAAGGAAATTTTCCAGATGAAAAATATATTACTTTAAATACCAAAACATTGCTTTCAGCAAATTTTTTCTCTGTACTTATTTAAAGAATAACACAAATTGCTTAAGTCTGATGACTGAAGGTCGTCATTACAAACCACTATTATCATACTATATAGTAAAACAGTTCTGCATCTACTTTATGATTGTCAATATCAGGCCATCATCTGGGAATGTTGGGAGCATTAAACACAGACTTTTCATAATACATATCAGCAACTACAGGAGGAGTGATGGAGTTGACATTCTGAGGACTTTCATTTTCTGCCTTTAGCTTCTAATCTGCTGTAGTCTAAAAAGCCAGATAATAAAACTTTTTATGAATTATATATCAAATAACAAATCAGCAAGTCTCTGAGTTTGACACAAAGGAATAAAGTGAATGGCTTTAGTTCAGGGTCTTTGAGACAGATATCTGGCCTTTTTTTTCTTTCTTGCTCAAGTTGGTGATGTGATACAAAGGGCTGAGGCTGCTAGAAGAGACTGCTAGATAAACATAAAGTTACTGCATTGTGACAGAGGTCTAGGCTTAGACTTGACTCCCAACATCTACTTCCCCTTCCTTCACTGGGGAGTGAATAACTTTAAATATGAGGGAGATATTTGGGGCAAAGAATCAAATTGAGGGTTTATTCTAAGATATGTACATGTGTGTATATATATGTATATACATATACACATGTGTATATACATGTATATACATATACACATATGTATGCATATCCACACATATAAATGTATATGTATTACGGTTAGATATTCTCCATCATGAGAAAATTTAAAAAAATTGGGAAATCAATTTATAACTTTTTCTTGTAACCTGAAAACTGTTATAAAATGTTTTTCACTACACCTAGTGCTGCAAGACATGAAAGATTGATGCTGACATCAATTGAAAATAAGGCAATCTAATGGGAATGAATTTTCAGAGAAGCAAGGAGATTTTTATACCATTTGGATATTGGTTACACTGATAAGAAATTTAATAGGAAATAAGCAATTTGGCAGCTCTACCACCTTGCCTGCAGAAGCTCTACTCCAGCATAAGTTCATTATCAATGACATTTTGTTTCAGCAAACTACCTTTAGGAAGGTTGGTTGACAGCTTTTTTACGTACTGTCAGAGTGAACCTGAACAATAAGGAAAGGATTCTAAGAAGAAATTAAAAAGTGACATATTAACCATGAACTGATATTCACATAGGTATCTATATCCTGCAGGTACACCTTGCTTTAACAAATTTATGTCTTCCTGAAAAATCGTGCAAGTTGTATTTCTGGAAATCAAAACTAACTGCACCAAGATTTGAAGAACCCTAAAGAAAATTATATTTTAGAATGTAAGATATCTTTATGACATAAATAACTTCTAATTCATCTATTTTAAAAAGTTTACATTTTCATATTAACCATTCATTTTGTCATTGGATAGAGAGCTGACCTTGGAAGTGAAGAATATTTGGGTTCAAATCTTGCCACTGACATATACTGACTCAATGATGCTAGGCAGGTCACTTAACCTCTTGGTGACCAAACAACTTCTCTACAACTATAAGTAACAGAAATGGCATTGATTTGCATTGACAGGGGGAATTCCATCCTCATGAGTTTAATAAATTAATGAAAGTTGACATTCAAAACCAAAATACTTTCAAATATTATATTTTTTTTTAAAATGGGATACATTCACAAAGTATATGCTATTGTAGGAGAGGTATGAAATAGGGGAAATGGTAGCAATCTGGTGGTTCACAGAGAGGTTTGATTCCTCGTTCTGACACATACTAGCTGCCTGAAGCTGCATAAGTTACTAAGTCTCAGTTACATCATTGAAAAATAGGGATGATACTTCCACTATCTACATCACATGCTTGGAAGGAAATTGCTTAATAAACCTTAACATGCTACATAATTGTCAGTTGTAATTATTTAAAAGACAATTTTATAAGTTACATTTTACAAATAAAAGTTATTTTCCATTGGCCTATATCAAAGATTTCTAAAAAAAAAATTATCCAGAAAATTTACCCACAAAATCATTTTACATATATAAATATACATACATATATATTTAAAAACTATGTATCTTTAATGACACATTGACTAACAATCAGTAAATCAATTATTAAACAAAATATACAATACTGCATGTGATAGAGAAGCTATGCCCTGTTGCTATAGGAAATGGAGGTTTTCATAATATTCTGAGCAGTGCTCTATAGACTAGTAATTTTGTTACTTACTGAAAATGTTTGTACCATGTATTACATGAAGAAATGTATTCTGGCAACAATATGGTACTTATCTAATGAACCTTTACTCATACCTATAGTCATGAGAGGTTGAGGGGGAAATATAGTTGATTAGATGGTGAAAATGCTTGATCTGCTCATGCGAAAAAGCAAAAAACAAAATCCTATATCAAGCAGGAGGCCTCCTGGTTGGCTGAGATGAGCTTGGTTTCATAACCTACAACAATGACATCGGTCCAGGATCCAATAAGCATTTATTAAGCACCAATTAGGAGCCACACATTGTGTTAGACACTGAGCATACACTATCAATAATAAAATAAACCCTGTTTGCAAGGAACTTATTTCAAGTATAGCACACATCAAATGCACATAAAATGTCTATCACATAAATATAAAGTGAATAAATATGAATATATACAAAATTGTTGAATATAAAGTACTTTGGCAGGGAAGGCACTACCAGTTGGGGGGAATCAGGGAAGAATTTGTACCAAAGATGTTGCTTGAGTTGTATTGTATAGGAAGAGGGGCATTCTATGAGGTGAAGGTAAGAAAGGCATTCATTACAGGTATGAGAGAAGGCCAGTACAAAGTCATGGATGTAGGACATAGAATGTCCTGTGTGTGTAGGATAGGGAGATGACCAGTTTGGTTGGAATCCAGAGTACAGGTCAGGGAATAATTTCCAATGAACCTGGAAACATAGGTTGGAGCCAGATTTTTAAAGGGACCTTTAACAGCTATGCAGAGGGGTTTATATTTTATTCTATAGACAAAAAGAAGCCACTAGAGTTGGTTGAGTAGGGGAGTTACATGGCAAGGTCTGTATTTATGAAAATTAGTTTGGTGGCAATGTGTAGGATGGATTAGAGTGATAAAAGAGTTCAGTCACAGAGACCAGTTAGGAGGCTGTTTGAATAATCTAGGTGAGAAAATGACAATTATGGTCATTTTCTGGGACTGGTTGCTAGGGGAAGTGCTCTGGGGTCAGAGATGCATTCTATTTGGGGGAGAACTAGGAACTAGACTCGTGCCAGAAGCAAAACATCCAGTTATATAGACAGTAGTGTTTTGTTTTGTTTTTTGAGATTCAGAGCAAACACTATGGTGTGGGTGGGACACTGAGATTCAATTGACTTAACTGCATTAAGCCAAAGACTAACAATTATCATTTTCCCCCCAAATTCAAGAATCCAGTGGCCAAGGATCAGTTGCCTCAAGGGAAAGGATGGGTTTTGCAGCCAGAGCACCGAGTTTTTATAGTTAAAATTGGCCCATGGAATGCTTCATTTTCATATTTGAAAAAATATCTAGACGTCACAATCAATATGCTCACCTCTGCCAGGTAGAACTCATCATATTGTCTTCTGAAATTCTCTCCTTTGTAGTAGTTGCTAGCAGCAACAATGACATCTACAGTCACCATGCTCAGGATAAACATATGAAAAACTGATGACCTCATCATTTTCTGAAGAGAGAGAAAAAATATATGTCAAAGTAAGAGATTGTTTTAATTAACAAGAAGATCTTTTGTTTTAGGAAGAATAACTGAATATATACTGTTTTCATGGTAAGAGCTCTTATACCTTAATGAATTTCCAATCACTCAGAGTCTTTAAACTGAGGCCAAATGTGGATTGTTATAGGTTCTAAAGGAGATTCCTTCTCAGGGACATGTTGGACTAGATAATCTCTGTAGCCCCTGACAAATGAGGATTCTATGATTATTATTATGATAAGGATGACTCAGAGCTATATATTTAGTGTTAGTCTTGCATCACCAACTGCTTCTTGGCAAATGGGCCTCCTATAAGCATATTAAACTTAACATGTTCAAAACAACTGTTTTTCTTCTCCTAAGAGCTTATCTCTCCTTTAAATTTCTTTATTTCTGTCAAGGCATCACCATTTAACTTTTTGAAAGTCAACCAGGTTCATAAAAGTGGAGTCATCCTTTCGTCTCCACTCAATCTCTCAATACCCATATGTAATTAGTTTTCACCCCGTATTATATTTGCACATCTCTCACACCAGCCTCCTCTTTAATCACACCTTCTATCATCACAGTTCAGGTTCTCATCACTTTTCAGTTGGACAGCCTTCTAAATGGACCTGCCAGCTTCCAATTTCCCCTTTCCCATTCATCTTCCACAATTGCCAACATAATATTCATTGGGGATAGTTCTGACCATTTTCATCCCTTCTTTAAGAAATTTCAATGGTTCCTTATTTCCTCTAGGCTTGGGATTTGAATAATTTTATGCCCCAATTTAAACTTACCTTTCCAAGTTTGTTACACATTACCCTCCTTCACACATTCCATATTCCAACTCAACTGGCTTATTCAATGTTTCTCATGTACAAAATGCACTCCTTTTTTGCCTCCCAGTTTAGAATCCCTGAACTTAGTTCAAGGCTCAGTTCTTAAGCTTAATTATATAGGAAGCTTTTTCTAATACCTTCAATAATTAGTTCTCACTTTCCCCACTTCCAATTGTTATATACATGTTTTAATTGTATTACATTTCATCTCTCCATTTCATCTTTACCTTGGAAGAACTGAAAATTTACAGGTCCCTAGAAGTATCTCTGAAAACAGCTGCACAAAACCACCAAATGGCTCTAAACAAATTCTTTAATTGTATTACATTTGCATTAGAATGCAAATTCCCATAGGAAAAGGGACATTTAAAAATTTTTTTTCTTTGATTCCTAGCATTTAGCAAAATGACTTACACACAACAGGCATTTAATAATTGCTTGTTGAAATGGAGTTTAATTTCAATGGTGAATTACTTCTTGATGTGCAAGACATAGCTAAATGGAGCAGAGTGCTTATCTAGAAAAGCCATATTTAAAAAAAAATTTTCTGGAAGTGTGTTCAAAAGGAAAACTGCTGCCAATGGTGGGTTTGATTCAATGTTCCACTGTTTATCCTTCCAGTTATTTTTGTTCTAAAGAGTACATGTTTAAACAGATGTTGGTTATCTGCCTTGTGCACTCCTTCCTGTTCAGATAGAGAAATTATCTGAGATCTGGTATCAAAGAATAAGACATGCTTATGTCACATGAAATAAAGAAAAGGAAGAAGTACATTTAATTAAAAAAAACACTACAGAGAAGTATATGAAACTTTTGACAAACAGGAAGAGACTAAGGGTTACTTACTCTCCTGGTAGGTACTGAGGCATTTTTAGAAGGCAATTTACCTTAATACACATCAAAGGCTCTCCTAAAATGACTCTTTTGACTGACAAATGAAAAGAAAACAGAATGGTTGTCATGCCAATTGGGACCAATGCTTCCTGAGTAGTAGAGGACATTCATATTCCTACACATCAAAATTTAAGACTATTTTAACCTATTCTTAAAAGTATGTTTTTACAGAAATCAGGATCTTCCAATTAGATGAGCATAGAATAAATCATAAAGGGAGCCAAGATGGCAGAGTAAAAGCAGTGACTTGCTCGAGTTCTCCCCCAAACCCTTCCAAATACCTATAAAAATGGCTCTAAACAAATTCTAAAGCAGCAGAACCCACAAAAAGACAGAGTGAAACAAATTACAGCCCAAGACAGCCTGGATGGTTGATTGGAAAGGTGTATCGTGCTGCGCTGGGAGAGGAGCGCAATCTAGTGTGGGCGTGCAGGCAAGGCAGGCCTCAGCTAACCTAGAGCAGGCCTCAAAGGATGGAATCAATGGCAGCTGTAGCTGTTTCCAGACTTCTCAACTGACAAACACAAAGACAACTTAGAAGGTCAGTAGGAAAAGTCTGTGTCTGTGGTGAGAGAGAAGCTTGGTCCCAGCTCTAGTCCCCAAGAATGGCCCTAGGGTGGCAGCTGCCTCCAGAGCTTCCAGTCCACAGACTGAGGGGGAATTGAGTGGCTGATCAGAGAGGGATTGCAGGGATCTCTCTGCTGGTGCAGGATTCTCTTGCTTTGTCTGTGCTTGGATCTGGGTCACAGTTCTGGGTGGTGGTCTTGGGGAGAGGAGGAGCACTGATGTGGTAGAGCTTGTAGTGGCAGTGGAGAGGAAATTCTCCTCACAGTTCCAAGACAGAAAAGAGTGCTTGTGGTCACTCATAGACCAGAGCATAGGCCAGGAAAGAGGTAAATACCTCACCCTTGATCATACCACCTTGAAAGAACTAAAAATTTTCAGGTCCCTAGAAGTATCTCTGAAAACAGCTGCACAAAACCACCAAAGCTTGGGACAGTACATTCTCCACACTGGAAGCAGACCCCTACCTTAACAAAGAGTTTATAACTCAAGTAATTAGCTAAGATCATGAGCAAGCAGTGCATAAAGAGTCAGACCATAGAATCTTATTTTGATGACAAAGAAGATCAAAACATACAAACAGAAGAAGACAACAAAGTCAAAGCTCCTACATCCAAAGCCTCCAAGAAAAATATGAATTGATCCCAGGCCATAGAAGAGCTCAAAAAGGATTTTGAGAAGCAAGTAAGAGAAGTAGAGGAAAAACTGAGAGTGATGTAAGAAAGTCATGAAAAACAAGTCAACAGCTTGCTAAAGGAGACCCCAAAAATACTGAAGAAAATAACACCTTAAAAAATAGCTTAACTCAAGTGGCAAAAGAGGTCCAAAAAACCAATGAGGAGAAGAATGCCCTAAAAAGCAAAATTGGCCAAATGGAAAAGGAAGTGCAAAAGCTCACTGAAGAAAATACTTCTTTAAAAATTAGAAAGGGGCAATTGGAAGCTAATGACTTTATGAGAAATCAAGACATTGTAAAATAAATCCAAAAGAAGGAAAAAAATAGAAAACAATGTGAAATATCTCGTTGAAAAAATAACTGACCTGGAAAATAGATCCAGGAGAGAGAATTTAAAAATTATTGGACTATCTAAAAATCATGATAAAAAAAGAGTCTAGACATAATCTTTCAAGAAATTATCAAGGAAAACTACCATGATATTTTAGAACCAGAGGGCAAATTAGAATTTGAAAGAATCCACTCATCACCTCCTGAAAGAGATCCCCAAAGGAAAACTCCTAGGAATATTGTAGCCAAATTCCAGAGTTCCCAAGTAAAGGAGAAAATATTGCAAGCAGCCAGAAAGAAACAATTCAAGTATTGTGGAAACACAATCAGAATAACACAAGATTTAGCAGCTTCTACATTAAAGGACTGGATGGCATGGAATATAATATTCTGGAGGGCAAAGGAGATAGGATTACAACAAGAATCACCTACCCAGCAAAGCTGGGTACAATCCTTCAGGGCAAAAAATGGTCATTCAATGAAATAAGGGACTTTAAGCATTCTTGATGAAAAGACCAGAGCTGAATAGAAAATTTGACTTTCAAATACAGCACTCAAGTGGAACATGAAGAAGTAAACGGGAAAGATAAATCATAAGAGACTTATTAAGTTGAACTGTTTACATTCCTTCATGGAAAGATGATATTTGTAACTCATGAAACCTTTGTCAGTATTAGGGTAGTTGGAGGATAAAAGTTACATGTATGTATATGGATAGATAGATAGATAGATAGATAGATAGATAGATAGATAGATAGATAGACAGGCAGACAGACAGACAGGTAGATAGAAGGCACAGGGTGAGTTGAAGATGAAGGGGTGATATCTAGAGAATAAAATTAAGGGGTGAGTGAGAATTATACTGGCAGAAGGAGAAAGGGAAAGGTAGAATGGGGTAAATTATATCACATGAAACAGATAAGAAAAGGCTTTTACAGTGGAGGGGAAACAGAGGAAGGTGAGAGGGAATGAGTGAATTTTATTCTCATCAGATTTGGCTTAAGGAGTCAATAACATACACACTCAATTGGGTATGGAAATCTATCTTACCCTACAGGAAAATGGTGGGGGAAAGGACAAGAGAGCAGAAGGATGATAGAGGGGAGGGCAGATTGGGGGAGGAGGTAATCAGAAGCAAACTCTTCTGAGGAGGGAAAGGGTTAAAAGAGAGAATAGAATAAATGGGAGGCAGGATAGGATAAAGGGAAATATACTTAGTTTTTCACAACATGATTACTATGGAAGTGTTTTGCATGACTATACATGTGTAACATTTATGGAGTTGCTTGCCTTCTCAATGAGAGTGGGAAGGGAGGGAGGAATGGAGAAAATTTAAAACCCAAAGTTTTAAAAACACATGTTAAAAAAATTGTTTTCACATGCAACTGGGAAATAAGATATACAGGAAATGGGGTGTAGAAATATATTATGCCCTACAGGAAAATAGAACAGGAAGGGGAAAAGAAAAGGGGGGGAGTGAGATAGAAGGGAGGGCAGAATCAGGGAAGGATATTCAGAATGCATGCCATCTTGGGGTGGGGGGAGGGATAAGATGGGGAGAAAATATGGAACTCAAAATCTAAACTCAAAAACCAAAAATAAATTCAAAAAAGAAAAAAAAATAAGATTTCTTGTATGACGTTAAAAATTCCATCATATCTAAGTTAGGTAGTCTAATAAAA